TCCTCCTCCTCCTCCTCCTCCTCCTCTCCTCCTCCTCCTCCTCCTCCTCCTCCTCCTCCTCCTCCTCCTCCTCCTCCTCCTCCTCTGCATCCTCCTCCTCCTCCTCCTCCTCCTCCTCCTCCTCCTCCTCCTCTGCATCCTCCTCCTCCTCCTCCTCCTCCTCCTCCTCTGCATCCTAGCTCCTCAACTGCCGCCATCGCTATACGCATCCTTGGATTGACATATGTCTAAACCACCCCACCTAGTACCCCCAAGATTAAACTGACCTCCACCCTTTGACTGGAACATATTGGTACCCCTACCCTCCATATATCCCATTTCGAGCAGGAAAGATACCCCGTTGAAAGTACCATTATTTTCAAGTACCCCGTCATCGACGCGATTGCCCCACCCTCACCCACCTTTCAACGCATTCTCCTCTTTTTTTCTTTGTTCTTCCAACACCGGTACTTCCGTCCACAAAAAACCAGACGGGTGTGGATTGTTTTTTTTTGGTAATTTAAGTACCGGTACTTCTTCCTTCCCTTCCTATACCACCCACCCCTACGATTGAGGCAGGATGCAGGTTTTACAAGAACTTTCCTCAATCTGTTCTGCCCCGACGCGTCATGCCTGTCTGCTAGTCCTCCTACCCTGCCTCCTCCTCCTCCTCCTCCTCCTGCCGCCGCCTCCGCTATTGATCTCGCTGCTCCACATCTCCCTGCTCACCTTGCCTCCTCCCTGAAGTCCATCTGATCCCTCTCGCTGTCTCCTGGGCTGCTTCCTGAGCCCTCCTATCCCTCCCAGTTCGCTCCCTCCTCGTACACCGAGCATCCTCTACCCCACAAACGTCGTCCTGGTTAGCGACACAACTTCACTCTGTCCCCATGGCTGGCTTTCTCGGTCGGCTGTCGCAAGGAATGGGAGGAGGGTCCCAGGAGGAGGAGGACATCAATGCCCCGATAACCTTCAGCCGCGCAAGGGCCCATCCTCCTCTGTCGTCCAACGTCGGCACCTTTGGCAGCACAGACACGGGGCTTCGGAGGAACTGGGTGACTGGCTATGTTTCCCCATGATGTTGCATGCGAGTCGCCGCTCCCTCCTTTCTCGCTCCCTCCCTCCTTTCTCGCTCCCTCCCTCCTTTCTCCCTCCCTCCCTCCTTTCTCCCTCCCTCCTTTCTCCCTCCGTCCCTCTTTTTTCCCTCCCTCCTTTCTCCCTCCCTCCTTTCTCCCTCCCTCCTTTCTCCCTCCCTCCTTGCTCCCTCCCTCCTTTCTCCCTCCCTCCCTCCCTCGTAGTTTCTTTCATGCTTGTTCTTCGCTTTCTCATTGCCCTGCCCCCACCCCCTCGTAATCCCACATGCAGGTTGAGGGCAGCTGGGCATCAGGCTCTCGCTACGGCCGCCTGGAGAAGGCGCCCTCTAGACCGTTTCTCAGCATAATCCTCATCTCCGCCTTCTTCATCTTCGCCATGGTGGCATCTATCATGTGGTATGACGGCAAGGATCAGTTCAACCTCAACAACATGCTCCCCTGGTCCACCGGGGGAAGGGGCAGCGGATCTCGCCCGTCGGCGGGGTCTGGTAGAGCACGAGGGAGGGGAGAGACGAGACGAGGTGCGAGCAGGGTTCCTGCCCTTGTGCCGATGCAAAGTGACTCGACTTGTCCAGTGGAAGAAGCGAACGAGAAGCTGAAGTTCAAGTACCATGAGGCTCTCAGAGACGTCAGAGGACTGGAGAGCAAAGTGAGCCGGGTGGAGGAGAGAATCTGATTGAGGAGGAGAGGCTCTGGTCGGCGGCTGACGAGGACGGGGCAGGTTGGGGAGCTGGAGCATCTGGCAAGGGAAAACTCGCGCAAGGTGCAACACACGACTCGGGGGGGGCAGGACGGGGCCCTTGTGGAGGAAAAGCTCAAGTATGAGGCAGCTGAGCGAGAGGTAGATGCCCTGGAGAGCAAGGTAGAGGGAGGGGAGGATCGAGGACGTCAGGCTGGTGACTCGAGCAGGTGGAGAAGCTAGAGAGAGAGGCGTTGAAGCAGAAGATGAGCATGCGACAAGGGCAGGTTGGCAACTTATCTCCCTCCTCCTCCTCCTCCCCCTCCTCCTCCCCCTCCTCCTCCTCCTCCTCCTCCTCCATCGTGACATCCTCCCTCCTGAGTCTGCGTCATCCGGGTCGTTGAAACTAGCATCCTCATAAGGAGCATCTTGCCCTTGAACGCTTCTCCCCGCCGTCCTTGTTCCTCGCTGCTCCGTTGCATCTTGCGACTGACCCGCTGCCAACTCACAGGCCAGCGACCTGGGGCGGGCGAGCAAAGAGATCTCAAACCTGCAGGTGTAAAACTCTCAGTCCACCAACGGTTGTTCACCCTTCCCCCACCAGGACACCATGGAGCGGCTGGAGGAGCTCGAGGCTCGAAGGAGCAGGGTAGCTGATCCCGAGCTGGGCTGAAGCATGGGCTCTGCCTGACCGTAGTGCTGAGCAGGAGCAGAGGATGTCGGAGAAGCAGATCGCAGCGCTGGAGAAGGAGAACGAGCAGCTTGAGGTGAGGAGGGAGTGGAGGGAACCACGGGACATGACGAGCACCTCGGTCCAGCTGAGCTTGGAAGATCGAGAGCAGGACAAGTGAGTCACCTGCAGGAGGCCAGCACATCGTCTGAGTGATCCCCTGCTGCAGGCAAGAGATTAAGGCGCTCACAGACAAGGTCGAGGAGCTCTCAAGGTGGGGACGAGGGCAAGCGGCCGTTCCTCCGCCTCCTTGACTGCCGGCCAGGAACTCGGCGGCTGCTCGCAGGAGTCGGGAGAGTGGAGAGATCAAGAAGATCGAGGAGGCAATCAAGGCGCATCTGAAAACAGAGGAGGACAGGTAAAAAGCCGTTGACATTGTCTCTGTTCGTCGTTCTTCTACTTCCTTTCTCCCGTTCACATCGCTTGTTCCCCCTCCTGAAGCTCTTCACAAGGGTTGCCAAGCTTACGAGGCAGCAAATCAAGCTCAAGGCCGAGCTGGAGGCGGCGAGGGCAGAGGCCCAGCAGTACAGAAAGCCTCAACCAGCTCCAAGGAGGAAGCGCGCGCAATCCTCTCTGCATCTTGGCCCATCGAACGATCTTGAGAGCACAGGCAAACGTTTGAGCTATGCGGATGAGGTGCAGGTATACCTACTCTCCCTCCTTCCTGCCTTCGGATGATCCGTGTGGTGACAGCAAAAGGAGAAGAAGGAAGAGGAGAACATCTCGAGGCAGGTGTGAAACGAAGTCCTGTCGCCAGCGCAAGCCCTCTAACGCTCCTGGCAGGCGTCGAGGATGATGAATCACAGGGAGGAAGAAAGAGGGCTGGACAAGCGTCATCGCAAAATGCTGGAGGTTAGGAAGAGGGTCGACGTCTGATCTAACAGGAAGAGTCAGGACATGGAAAGGAGCCAGGAGATGCGCGACAGGACGGCGGATCAAGCAGCCGACAGGTTCCACTCCTCGCCACGCTGCTTCCCCGTGCCTGACATGCCGTGCAAGGGATCTCAAGGTCAGGGAGAAGGAGATCGACAAGCTACTGGGCACCAACACCAACTGCCCCGGGTGAGATGAGCACGAGGATGAGATCCGAGCATCTGCTATGCTAACATTGGTCTACAAGGCCGGACTGCATGACCAAGAAGGTCGACCCCTCGATAGTTCAGGTTGCCATTTCAGAGGAGGTTGAAAGGGAATTCTTACTTTAACTCAAGGCAACGGACTATGCCAGGTCAAGATTCGCCTCCGGAGGAAAGCTCCGCTTTCAGTAGAATGGATTTTAATCATCCACAAATTGAATTTTCGTTTGCCGCAAAGCTTGTTTGCGTGTCGGGTTAGCTTGAGATGTCGCAGATCATCGACTCTCCGGGTTAGACTTACCATGAGGCGACTCTCGAGGGTGGACTTACCATGAAGATGGTTCAAATTGTCGTCTTGGTGTTGGTTTCCGGGACTTACCATGAAGTGGCATGGATGAGTAGAGATGGCGGCGGATGAGGATGAGAAGAATGATGGAGCATCGGAGTGGTGAAACTTGACAAATGAGCTTAGAGATCAGCGATGAGGACGAGTCTTGACTCTAGAAAAAAGCAGATGCTATGTTAGTACTTACGCGAAGAGCGTGGAAGGTATGGATGCGCTTCAAAAACTTGATCCCGACTGTCAAAAACTAGGCTTGAGCCTTGCCCAGCGAGAAGTGTCGCGCTTGTATCAATCGAGCCCTTGCAACAGTGTTCCTGAAGTCTCGGTGTATGGTTGTTAACTTAAATCATCTTGGTAAGGTTTGCTATTAAATCATCTTGGTAAGGTTTGCTTGGCAGGTTCCATTTGGTGGAGTCTTGGCAAGACTGGAATGGTTAACAGAACAGGATGTAAATGTTGGTGGGAGAGGTGTTTTGGGGGATTATTAACGACGAGAAGAAAATTAAGAGGGAGGGAAGGAACACAATCCGAACAAATGTTCGTCAAGGGGCGACACGGTGGACCAAACTGAAGCCAGAGCACATGAACATTAATCTGCGACCTTCTGTATCATCATCCAGATTTTCCTCTGTCCCATGTGATCTATGGATCAACAATTCTGAGATCTCTGAGACGTAAACTCTCAATCAAGTAGAATTTCCGTCCCAGTAGAGTTGAATTCTTGCTCACTGGAGCAGTGAGGGATTCGAATTCACTTCTTGTGGAGAGAGTTCATATGGTTCCTCACTCCCGTGTCAAAGGAGTCCCTCTCGTACCAATGCTGAGCATTGCGACACCCCTGACCAGACTGATTGCCCCCGTCTGACCGACCAGACTTCAGGCAATCACAGCATAGGGGGCACCACACCCATTGATGTCTGTCACTGCAGGCAACTGTTAAGTGGCCCCTTTTGTGAGCGACTCGGTGAACTTCCTTGGAGCAGGCACTGCCATTCTTCTTGCTGAAAAACTTACAGCAAGACAGGATGCGGCACTGAACCGAATTTCTCTCCGTCGCCTGCTTCTTCGTCACGATCTGTCCATTCCTCGCAAAGTTGCCTTCTGGTGATCTGCGCTTTGCACAATGTCCGATAGGGGGTCCATAATTCTGAACCTGAATCGGAAAATGCGCTGAACTATGGTTGAAGAGGATTCTGTGATCATCTCCATCAAACGGGCCTCCAGGTGTCGGACTGGTAGGTTTTGCATAACACATCTGAATGATGAGGTGAGGACAAGACAAACAGGCAAGACATAATTCAAACCTCTCTCACCCTCCAAATGTTTGCGGAAGGCTCATCGTGTTCCGTCAGCTTCGTGCTGTGCCTCGACTTGGCTTCGGAGAGCTTGTACCAGCTGTTGCAATTTACAGGTTGTTTCGGGGTTTCACTCTGTGCTTTCACTGTCGCACACTTTTTCTCACGCTGATTCTCGTCCTGTTTTGTACTTCCGATGAGCTGATCATAAGTTGTACTCTCAGATTTGATATCGTTGTAGATCTGTTGAATTGTCAACGAAACTCATCAAGCGATGATTCCTTAACACAAGATACCTTCTGGAAAATGTCTTGTTGGCAGTAATCATCCGACACATCCACGAAGGGACCATGCGATTCTCCTGCGTTGACATTGTCGGCCTTCACATATGGGGAAGACCGCTGGACATCTTGACGGCAACCCAGCTCGTGGAAACAGAAGTTGACAGTCAAGCCGTCCGTTTTGCTGGAAAGGGGATGGTCTTGAAAGTTGATGTTCAGGTCATCGTTCGACAAGAGAAGTTCTTCCGCACACAAGTTTGAGTCCGGGTGGAGGGGAGACAGCATTATCTGCTCCATCCTGAATGTACGAGCCGTCCAATGTACAGTGCCTCTGCAGCACGAGGATAACCTATCTGTATCCTATCCAGTTCCGAGGAACAAATCAGACCGATTCGCTAATCCACATGAAAGACGATTTGAACTCCCAGAGCAGAACAGCGCCAGAAAAAACGATACAATCACTTCCGCAGATCCGAGGAATGGGAACGGGAACAATGTGCTTGTTGACAGTCACAAGTTACTAGACCCCAAAGACCTCCACTGCTCCGTTTTGTCTTACGCTTGACGGTGGAGGCAGAACACACTATGATCTGCGAACTTCCACGTTTCCTCTGCTCGGGGTCGCTACCCACTCTTCCTCTTCCTCTTCCGCTCCTGTGCCTCTCTACAACAGCGCTTCCATGGTGAGGGAGATTGCGTATCAGGTGGATTTGGGGGTGGGTGGACCAACAGATAAATTACAGGTGGGTCCTTCCAAAACTTTGTAAAAGAGGGGTGGGGGTGGAGCAGCTCAATTTGTTTTGGGTCGTTGGTGAGCAGAAAAAGGTGAAGGTGGGGTGGGTGTAAAGTTAGGGAAGAATGGGCCGAGAACAGACAATTTGAATAACTTTTTCGCAATTTTGACCAAATTTTGTGATCATACTTGTATGAAGATAGAATACTTTTGAATTTTATAATCAAATTTCAATGTTTAGCTCTAAAACTGATAAACCAGGTAGGGGTCAATTCAACCAGACATTTCGGTCATGTTCAACCACAACAAGAGGGGTCGGGTGGGTGTACACGTGTCTCATTTGAAAGGGTAGGTCAGACATAATATAGGGAGGGGTGGATTGGGAAGGGGTAGGGTCAATTTAAGGGCAGTGGGAAGGACGGGTGCCTTCTGATACGACCCTTGTAGCACCTGTGTCTTAGGTACCTACCAACTTTGGATCGAATACAACCAATGAGTGTAGGAGGTCGTAGGATGCCTATGTTGGACGGAGTCGTTTCCGGTGTGAGGAAGGTCGTAGTGAAGGTACTAGGTTATTGTGAGGAGGGAGCAAGCCTCCTAAAAATAATTTAAACTCTTTTTATGAATAAATCCTTTTAAATTCGAGGGTTTTTTAATAAGGGTCATATCGGTTAATATGCACCCACAATCCAACACTACCCTTGTTACACCGGTAAAGTGAGGGGTGATACCAAGAAGCATTGCGGGTAGATTAATAAGCTAGTACTGAATTTGAAAAGGTGTAGTTTCGCCCAAACAGGCTGCATGATCCATGTCATCGTCACGTTGTTCACACGGACCAACCATGCCATTGCCCAACAGTCAAAAGAGCTGACTGAAAGCGAAAATGGCAGGTCCGACGGTCACTTTCAAGTTGGTTCAGTCGGAGGCTCGTTCCGAACTCGGCTGCCACTCCGAGTACCTACGGCCCACGGTGTGACCGACCCGGCACCGCCGGGCCGGCCGCGCGGCCGGCCACTGAGGGCACTCCCGGGCCGGGCCGCGAGCCGGGGCCCCCGGCCGGCGGCGGTCCCGGAGTCGGCCACGTTGAACGGTCCGATCAACGGTCACGGCGGTCCGATCTGGAACCACTGGCAGCCTGGGCTGACTTTGAACTGACTCGGCGTCCTCGGCCCGGAGCATGAGACTGAGAGTCATGGCACAGTACCGTGAACTACTGCTGACTCTCCGAGGCTGGGTACGGTCACTGTCAAATCACAGCCTGATCGGACGGTGCTGGCCGGGCCGCCGGGCCCAACACGGCGCGGCCGAGTTACCGTACCGTACCGTACCCGGTGACCTCACGTCACCGCGTGACTATGATACTAGCGTGCAACCGTTCAACGGTTCGGAACGGACTGTGAGTGACCGGGAAGTGATCGGATGATCGGATGGCGTCGGTGAGAGTCATCCGATGATCTCTATCGCCCCGCCGCGCGGCCGCGGACTTGAACCCCCGGCCCGGTGACGCCGCCGCCGCCGGGGTGAGTACTACCGGCCGCCGGGCGCGCGGCGGCCGGGCCCGCTAGTAGGCCGCCGCCGGGCCGCCGCCGCCGCTGGCCCGGCGGCCTCGGAGCGGCGGATCATGAGTCTCAGGCTACTTGAGTCAGTGATGACCGGACTGTGAGCTCGGAGCCTGGAGCGCGCACTGCGCCGCCACGCCGGCACAGCCTGAGCCGCACTGCGCGGCCCAGCCGCTATGGACTCCACTGAACTTCCGTACTCGACTTGACTTGCAACGTGAGTTCAAATCAATTCTAAGTACATGTCTGATTGATCTACTTCTTGGACGGCTTTGCCTGATTGGCCGCCTCATCTTCCTGAGATTCGAGGGGAAAGTGTCAATTCCGGCAGATAAGAATTATCTTGCAACGACCTGGTTTCGTGGATCATTAGGGTCGTTCTTGTCCCAGAATTCCTCCTTGCCAGCTCCACAGATGGGGCACCTGCGCAACACAGCGGGGAAACTAGTGAACACGCGTCGCGAGTAGTTCAGCTCAGACATACTTGAACTTGTCGGGAAAGAATTTTCCCTCGCGTCCCCTTGCTGGCATCATCTCATATCCGCATCCACCGCAAGCGAAGACATGCTGCAGCACTGTCATTTGAACGTCACAACAACGATCAAAATAAACTTACCAGCTCTTCGAGCTCCTGATCTGTCTGTGGAATGTACTTCGTGTCTTTGTTGTCAAGAATACTCCTGCCCTCCATCTGCATGCAGCTCTCACGCAAGTAGCAATCTTGCTTGTTTCCTGACCTTCTGCTTCACCATCTTCAAGACGGTCAGTCCCCCGATCACTGCCACCCAGAACGGCGCTTGTCCCATTCCAGCAGTGTTGACGGTTAGACCTCCAATCTTCTTCTCGACGACTTCCTCCTGTACCTGAAACGCAAGAGGGAGTGAGGAATTGCTGGTCGACCTCGATTTTCTTCTTACCTCCGTCTTTGCCATGAGGTGAACGTTCTCAAGCTTCATTGGTACCTCAATGAGGACCTTCTGGCCATGGCCAAGCCTCATCTGCACACCTGGTCGCGTTACTCCCCGTTGTGCATTCCTCAAAGGCAATCCCGTGCTTGGTCCTATGTCAAACTCATAAGGGACTGTGCTGCAGGGAACAATGAAGACTTCACCGTTGATCACAAAGGCACTTGTCGTGCTGATTGACAATACTGAAAGTATCAAACATGATCTGCAGAGCATGATTGTTCTGACCAGAACATGATGTCAGGATGTTTCAGAGAGCACGATACACTCGCGATACACTCTCGATTCAAACGTCACAATGACCATCCTTACTCTAGTATCTACCTCTTACAGAAAACACCCATTGATGATGTACTCATCATAGTCCCTCATAAAATGTATCGTTATCTAACATTTCAAAAGATGGTTCTCATTCTCAGTCTCACGTATAATCATCTCCACAGAAGACGACTTACATCCTCAGAATACATGATCCTCAATATCAAACACAAGAGATTCGAACAGGGGCAGGCAAAACATCATTTAGATATTGCATGGAACAACTGTCAAAAGTAACAAGACATCGATACACCTTGAGACTACTTCGAGGAGGATCGCGACAAATCCTTGTGCTCTCTAGCTCTGTTCTTCACCTGCCATCCTTCATCCATTGCTCTAATTTCATTCCTCTACCTACACCTGTCATCTTCTCTCCTCCGCCACAACAATCATTGCGTTGCCATGCTGCACGGCGGCCGCCGGCGCCCATTTCATTAGCTAGCTGTCAGGCCAGGCGATGTATCGATTGTTCTGGTCACCCCCACCCCCTCCAACCTACCCTCAATAGAGCCGGCCCCCACCCAGCCTTTGATACTACCCCACCCCCTTCTGGATAAACCACCCACCCCATTAAAAATACACCCCCGTCATTCCATGAATTTCACCCCTCCAGCCCCTGATATCGCATCGAGCTACCACCCCCTGACCCGTGCAGACTAAAACGGAAGTTGTTAGATAGAAGTTACGGCCTATCGGTAGCTGCAGTACCAAGCCAGAATTGCATTACAATACAATTTAAATATAATAATATAATTATCAGTACTTATAATGGAGGACTGAATTTGCTCGTACTAATATTGCTTAAAATATTGTAACCGATTCTACTGACCTCAATGAATGACCCTCCTCACTAGCACAAGAATTCACTCCAATCCAAGTACCCCTACCTCCTGGAAAGTCAAGCCCAAAGTTCTACTACCCCTCAAGGTCTATTGACAACCTTGGGTGGAGAACAACCCTACCCCACAGGCTAGGCGTTGTGTGGGGACTACCCCCTGTTACAGATCACCACGCCCTACCGCAACATGCCGCATCCAGTTCTTTTAGGGGCTGCCCTAGTCGCATGTTTGGGAAAGAATGGGAAGACAGAGAAGAGGCAGCGTAGAAGCTCACATCGTGTAATGCAGAGAATCGGCAACTCTAAAATTTGTCTTGCTGTGGGAAAAGGTGCACGGTCAGAAGTTTAAAGAGCTGCGGCTCATGTCAGATTTGCGCTGGTTTACAGCTGTTGTCTCTAGTCTAGCAGCAACAATGCATTTTCAGACTAAAGGAGTAGTGAGTGCAATGAGTTATAGATGGGTGGCATTCGCTTATCTCGAGGTTTCAGATCAAGATTTTTGCCATGTTCAAAGGTGTAGATAACTGCTGTATGCATCTCATATGATTGCCCCAGAACAATCAAAGAGGGTTCTGCAAAACAGATTAGGAAAGGGCTTTGCAAACTCACAAGATGAAAATTTCTGAAGGATTTCAGTTTAACTGTTATAGAATTTTGTGTAATCCTCGCGTGGTAAAACTTGACATTTTTCCTGCAGCATCAAGTTGCCTGTGTATGAGGGTGTCTTCGACCGGAAGATCGCGCTTCGTTTTTACGTTTTGTCAAGTTCTGACCAATCAACGGCATACAACCTTGGAGCCCCTGGCATAGCCTTTGGATGTCTTGGTGACAGATCAAACAGATTTTTTTGCTTTTCTCGCCTGCATAACCTGTATGAACTGCGCTAGGACTCTATCATGCGCCTTTCAAAGATCTTTTGCATTTTCATTTCGACACTCTACGCCCACCTTTTTGTCGAGGTTTTTGCGTTCTCTCAACCCAAATCCTTGAGGCTGCGATTCGATGGAGGCAAAGCTGCAAGCAAGGAAGCTCATGGTTTGTCTTTCTCCTTGGCCAAGAACGTTTGTTCAAGGAGGAAGCATGCTCTCAGCACTTGCATGCTGGTGGATCTATCTTCGCCTCTCGCCATTGCAGCTCACAGCATGCAGGTCACATCACTTGTCGAATTCGATTCAACTCCTAACAAATTTTCAGGGTCTATCTGGAATTTTTAAGATTAGCCCGATTCAGATTGATGCTTTGACTGGAATGCTTCTGTACGTCCTAGGCAAGATAACGGCTGATAGAATCAATCAGGAAAAGACGAACAAGAAGGAAATCCGACGATGGGGCACTGTTGGAGGTATTGACGGCTGCCTTGCGCACGTTTGGTACATTATCACGGATCACTTGGCAAGCATCTGCATCTTCCAACAAAAAATCTGGATTGTACTTGTTCAGGTGTTTTTGACGGAGTTGCTGTACACTCCGTTGTTCGTCAGCATTTTTCTGCTCGTCTCTGCTCGTTTTGATGGCAAGTCTCTGCAAGAATCTCTTGGAAAGGTAAGGACAGGCCTTGTTCCAATGTGGAGGATGTCCACCAAGACATGGATTCCGATCAACATCTTTATCTTCAGCCTCATCCCCGTCGAAAGGAGAGTGTTAGTTTCCATGTTTCTCAACTACGGCTTCGTGGTCACTCTCGCGCTCTGGGACACTGGATGGTTCACTAAGGCCTGGAATTGGTGGAAAAAGAACCAAGATCAGTTCATCACTTCGTATGCTCTCTCCGAAGACCCTCCGGCTACCTCAAGAACTGAGACAGAGGGAGGGGCAAGTGGTGATATTAGCCGATACCACTCCAACAAACCCTTCACCCCAGGCGACAGGAGCATGATGGTCACAAAGTCAATGGTTGCATCGGAAAATGCTGAGTTGATGAGAAATTTACCATGATGAACCGTGTAGATATGGGAATGAGCTGCTTTTTTTGTGGAACAGAGGTCTTGTTTTTTTTTGTATTAACATTTTCGACAGTCCCAGACGTATGTTGTATTTGTTGGGACGGAATTTTGCTCGATTGGTTGTTACTTTTTGTACGGACAACTAATAAACAGTTTTCGATTTTGAAACGAAAGTGCACGAGCATGTACAGTGCAGAAGAGGGGAATGTTCGGTCCAGTGGAACACAGTAATGCAGTAAATCAACAGTATTTATTGAAAAATGGCGATGGGAAACCATCGTTGCACTTGGAATCGAAGCACAAAAAACTAGACAACCGAGTTAGCTCTCGAAATTTGACAATTCAAAACATGACATTTTGCATCATTCCTCAACTTTCAGCAAAAAATGACCACACATTCGCGTTCAGAGCGTATATTAATAGAAGTTGAATCATCGGAATCTTGCCATTTCATCACCATCACTCCATGAATACCTCGTCTGAAAGGGATGGGTTCCTTGAAACGTTGGGGAAACTGTTGAGGAGAATAGACCTGAAAAGCAGAAAGGTCACTCTCATTGAAGAGATCGCTTCTCGAGCGGATAATGGAAAGCATGCATCAGTCTGGCGCCAACAATTCGCTTCAACACGGGCGTATATTTTCAGTTGTGTTGCAAAAATATTGTTTTTCTCGATCATCTGCAGTTTCGAAGACAATCACATAAATTCTGTTCATATCACCTGCAAGAAAAGATCAGAAGCTTGACGAGGTACACGAATGCGAGTTTGGTCCGCACATTTCTTCTCCATCTCTTCTTTTCCTCTCTTATCTTGCCCCTACCCTCCCCATCGACTCTCTAGAAGTCCCTCCCCGTCTTTCTCCTTCCTTCCTCGTTCAACAACTCCTCCATCGCTCCCCATCTCCCTCGTGCCCCGGGGGCCCCGCCATCAACTTGAAGTTGCTTCGTGCATCTCACCTTTCGCGGCGCGTGCTTCTCTGCACGTGCGGCGGCGGTATTGATAAATAGCCTCCAGGCGGCTCAGCCCCCGGGCCCGGCGGACAGCCGGGGGTCCGGCCCGGCGGACAGCCGGGGGTCCGGCCCGGCTGACTCATGAGGGCCTCAAGCGACTCAGGGGCTGATTTTCAACTTAACTTTGAGTAAAAGGGGCCGGACAGCCGCCGCTGCCACAGTCACCCGGCGGGGGCGGCGGGGGCGGGCCACGGCGGCGTCGGCCCGGCCGGCCCACGGGGGCGGGCCCCGGCCCCGGGGCAGGGCCAGTCAAGTGCCACTCAGCGGGCCAGAGCCTCGGGCGCCCCGGGCCACCTCCAGCCTCGGAGAGTTATCTTAACTCGGCGCTCAGCCCCGGGCAGGCAGTGTCGGACCGCCGCTCAGTACTGCGGCACGCCGATCCAGGCCCGGCCCTCCCGGGTCCGGGCCGCCGCCCGACCCGGCCGGGACGGACATCTCAGTGCTTGGAGCTGCTGACTGGGCGCATCATGGAAGAAGGTAGGTGGAGCGAGGAGAGAAGCAGCAGATCTTGAGCATGCACACTGAACGAATTTCACAGAGGTCAGAGAAAGGTTGAACAGCCTCCTGGCATGCGTGGGAAAGAACGAGATTGTACAGGTGACGAATCAGCGAAGGTTCAAGGGGAGCAAGTGCAAGCTGACTGCCGCTCCCCAGGGCCTTGAACTTGCGAAGCAACTGCAGAAGGACCCCGGCAACATTCCTCTGCGATTGTGGAACGCCAAGGAAAGCTCCCTGTTCCCTTTGACGGTCATGTGCTCACTATGACCAGCAGACCATAGCAAGTCTGGTCGAGTTCGTGGCTGAGCACATAAGGACGGAGATTTGGGATGGGGATCGCCTGTACCGCCATTTGCCTACCTTTTATCTCGCCATGAACTTTCCTTGCAGATCACTCGTTCTCATCCTCCTCCGCTTCCTGGGCTCTTGGCTGGAATCCCTCAAGTGATTTGTTTCACTTTCTATTCCGTGATGGGCAATGAAGTCTCTTGCGCAGCCTCTATCTCCGACAGCACCCTGCTGCTAATCTCACCAAGCAAGTCAGCGGTCAGATATCGAGTGAGTTGCTGCACTCGTATCAGTGCCGGCAGTGACAAGTGAGAGGAGGGTTGGTCGAGGCCATCAAGATCGTCCCAAGTCAGATGTTGTCATGGAAGAGCGAGAGGACATCGCAAGATGTGTTCGCAGCTTCTCTCTACGTCCTCGGCAGCGCCTTCTACGTTGCCGGTTCTTCTAGAAAAGAGGTCTTCCTGCCTGGTGACCTTCGTCTGTTCCTGCACAGAAGGCTCGGAGTGCGCGGAATGCTTGGAGGCGTATATGGATGCAATGGAAACAGCAGGAAGTGATGGCGGTGGACAAACTTTCTCTTCACCCTTTCGTGCATGTTGATCTTCCTTGTGGTCAGGATCCCCATCGCGGGAGGGAGTGAGCGCGTTCTTTAAAGGTACGAGGTGGGAGAGTTTGTGGGCAGCGGTGTTCACATCGGGTGAAGGGTGTGGCACTATCATCGCCTCCTTGAAAGAGCCTCGACGTTTTGCATCGTCGATGCTGAGAAAGTTTACGATGCTGTCAAGAAACAAGATCGATCAATGCAAGCAGATGCAGGCTGAACAGCTGACAAGTCCAATCAAGGATGAACAAGTCGATGAGCGGAACTTATACTCGCTGGCTGACTGGAGGCTTCTGGCGTCTACGTTTGAGAACATGGTGAGCAGAGTGGAAAGGTTCAGAGTGCGGGAGATCTCAAGAATGAGGGAAAGAATTTTTAATGCATGCTTGCAGTTACAAGTCGGTCCTCTGCCAAAAAGAAACGAGAAGATTCAGATGAAAGAAAAAATGCAGTGGTAGGTATCTTTTCCTGTCCTCCTCTCCCCGTTTCCCTCCTCCTTTTCCTCCTTGGACTCTTCCTCTACATCGTCATCTTCTCAATTTTCCTGTTTCTCCTGTCCTCTCTTCGTTTTCCCCTCTCTCGCACATCTTACATCTAAAGCATACACCATCTTGCAGGTATTCACTGCTAACTGACAACCTGACGGATTTCTCGTCACCCGGCACATCTCCTGACTCACTCACCCTCGTGACCCATTCTTGGTTGCAAGCTGCTGCCTTGAGATGGTGATAGCGCTGTTTCCTCCTCTCTGCCCGTCCCTGGTGCCCCTTTCCTTCCTCCCGTTCCCTCCCGTTGCTGCACACTGCATCGAGTTATAAGTCCTCTCCTCCTCTCCATCGTCTTTCTTCTCCTCGACTTGCTTTTTCATGCTGCTTTTCCTTCGCTCGGATGTTTCTGAGAGTACAAGACAGCTTCTGGCGAACCCCGATGCTGTTTCAGAAGGTGAAGATGAAAAAGATGGCAGTGATGATGATGAACAGCCTGAGATTGTGAGTTTGCGATACTGGGCAATTTCATCTGTTGCTGAAACCGTGAAAGGTCGCTCACTGAGATGGATGAATTTGCAAAGAGGAAGATGGGAGGAGGAAAGGATGACATCTGTGAATGGATCCTCCTACCTCCCGCATTCCATCACGCCATGAGCTCGCTGGGCAATGCGCAAGCGTTTGAGAGGGGAGCTAGTCTCTTCCTCGCAGCTGAAGGAGCAGTGAGAAAGAAAGAAACGACGGAAGGAGAGCAGGCAGGTGAAGATGTAGAGGGCAAATCACAGCGAGACATCGAGACGCTTGCAAGGTCTGTCGTCGGCTACATGATGGAAGTGGTGCCTGCCTTGTTGTACCTGATCTGCTTCTGGAACATGATGCTGCTGTTGCCAGTCGCTGGGGAAAGTGTTCTTCTCTGACCTATCCGACGCCCCGATCAACAACTCGTCGATGAATCGGCTGAAGATACACCTCCGCTCGGATCTCTTCAAGTTTGTGGAGGAGGGAAGGAGAACGGAGGGAGGCAGGAGGGGAGGAAAGGAGGGTGGGGAGAAGGAGTGTGGGAGGAAGGGAGTAAGGGAGGGAGGAGCGTCAATTTGTTTCAATTGACTGTCCTGGCAGCTCCTGCCCCACCTGTTGTCATCTTGCCAAGTCCCTTATGAGCCTGAAAGGTACAAGCTGCTCGCATGTCATCCTGTGACTGTTGGTCCCTTTTAGTCATCGGCCCTTCCTTTGCCACCCTGAGTCTCAGCCTGCTCGGCGATTTCCTCGAGTGGATGGTAGTCTTGATAGCACGCGAGTTCTCCTGCAGCCGCTGACGGCAGCGGAGGGCAGGAGACGGAACATGCGGCCACTTCCAAGAGGATGGAACATGCTGATAGAGTCGGACAGTGCGGCTGGATGACGACGTGGGTGAGACCGTTGGAGAGCAGCGAGACTGAGCGGCAGGCAGGGAGGGGAAGCAGCTCATGGTCATGGCGTGTATCTCCATCTCCTTCCTCTTCAGCTCCGTGATCCCCCTCCCTGCGATGGCGGCGGGGACATGTAACTGACTGCAGATGATGTCGACAAACATTCATGTCGATCCCTCAACGCTGTGCGACGCGATGGAGCGGCTGCACCTGTATGTTCTACTTGGAACTCTTCCTCTCTCACTGCAGGCAGGTATGACGTGCTCCCGCTGAACTCGTCCAAGAACCTGGCGAAGTTTGCTGTCTCAAAGATGTTTCTCGGTGCAAGAAAGGAGGGAGCAGGCGGAATAGGAAACAAGACCTCTCAGTCCTTGACGCTGCTCAGGGAAAGATTGGCAAAGAAATCAGAGGCCTTTCCTCCTCTTCAACATCACGGGCTGATCGCCTCCTGGAAAGAGGAATGCATCATCATCACCAATCATAGAGCAAGCTTCGTTGACGAGGAGGATGATGGATCGCCTCTGCCAGCATGGGAGGATCGCACCCCCGCCCATGGTCCCCTGCTGCAAGGAGAGCAAGGCGGGGGAGAAACAGAGCAACAAGGGACTGCATGGAGGTGAAGAGGCTCAAGTTTTATTTCCTTCTGTTCAACGAGGCTTCCCTGGGCCAACTTTGCAACGAGGACGAGGAGTTTGCCGAGCAGTTGTCTTCTGTGCAGACCCAGGTCTTCCTCCTCCTCATCAAGATGATGAACAGCATTGCGACTCCGGGCAGCGGCGAGGAGACGCCGAGGCTGTCAGTCAGCACACCTACCATGGACCAGGTCAGCGATGCTTGCCGTCTGCTGTTTGTCTTGACCACTGAGTTGCTTCCTAGTTCAACGATTTGTTCCTCAAGCTCTTTCGCAAGGACTCGAGACTTTCTCCCACACTGTTGAGAATCTTTCCAACGTGCGTCGACTTCCGCACGCCAGGCTGCTCCTGACTACATAGTTGCTCCTTCTCCTCCTCCTCCTGATTCTCATGCTGCTGCTTCCTGCGCCTTGCTCCTCCTCTACTACCGCTTTCTCCCCCTCCCTTTCCCCTTCCCCTTCCTCTCCTCTTCCCCTTCCGCTGTCCCTTCCTCTTCCTCTTCCTCTTCCTCTTCCTCTTCCTCTGGCTCTGGCTCTGCCCCTGCCTCTGCCTCTCTCATCTCTCCTCCTCCTCCTCCTCCTTCCCGATTTGTATCTTGACCTTCCCCAACTTTCTCATTATTCTTGCCCTGAATTTCTCGCAAGCTATTGGGAGATCGCTCTCAATTGTCACCCAAAGATCATCAACTTGCGGATACTGGTACAACTCAGTATCGACCATACGACTACATTCACAAGCTCCCATCGCAGGCAAAGTTGTTGTCAGCGTTGATTGAAAAGGCCGAGGCGGAAGAGGAGGAGGCTGTCCTTGTATCAGCAACATACGCTCGATGAAGTCACCTAACTTGTGTGTTGAACAGATGGCTGCTGTAGTGATCTTGGCAAAGAAGACAAGGGTGAAAGAAGATGAGGAGGGCAGTAACGTGAGAGTTACGGTCCTTGGGCAGGCGAGCAGGTCTTTCGAGCTAGCAAAGCTCGCGGCAGCACTGCTTCCGGCAAGATGTCAAGGGTGGTGAAGGAGAACAAGGACTGACGGATAACTTGCAGCTTGTTCCGCTGGATCAGATTGTTTTATCGCAGAAGGTTGTCGAAATGATTCTCGAAAAGTATGTCTTGGCTGCTCCTGCTTCTGCTCCTGCTCCTGCTCCTGCTCCTGCTCCTGCTGCTCCTGCTCCTGCCCCTGCCCCTGCCCCTGCCCCTGCTCCTGCTCCTGCTCCTGCTCCTGCTGCTCCTGCTCCTGCCCCTGCCCCTGCTCCTGCCCCTGCCCCTGCCCCTGCCCCTGCTCCTGCACCTGCTCCTGCCCCTGCTCCTGCTCCTGCTCCTCATCGTCATCATCTTCTTAACGTCTTTGTCTTGGTACTTCTTTGAAGTTGATTTCACCAGGATGAATGAAAAGGATCGACTCAAGTACGTCTCTTACATCTACAACATCGTCTCAGGTCTTGTCGCTAGTCTTGTTGTTTCTTGGCGTCCACTGACATTCCGACAAGGTGGAGTCGACTACATCAAAAGAGAGAGGTGAACATTGGCTAGAAGATTGATGATGACGGTGGTGGTGGTGGTGGTGGTGGTGGTGGTGGTGATGATGATGATGATGATGATGATGATGATGATGATGATGATGATGATCGATGGTGGTGGTGGTGGTGGTGGTGGTGGTGATGGTGGTGGTGGTGGTGGTGGTGATGATGATGATGATGATGATGATGATGATGATGATGATGATGATCGATGATGATGATGATGATGATGATGATGATGCTGATGATGATAATGATGATGATGATGATGATGATGATAGCAGTGATGATGATGATGATGATGATGATGATGATGATGATGATGATGATGATGATGATGATGATGATGATGATGATGA